TTGAGCGATGGTAAAGTTAGATATTTTTGCGCTTCTGGATACTATGGTTCTTTGTGATGGAAGAGAATAAGCGCATTTGGTCTAATTTGCAGATGAGAACGTGAATCAACTGGTGGGGACAAATCGCATTATTCTGCCATTTGTTGCATGCGGAGACTTGTCTAGTTGGGATTCAGACCGGAATTATTCCTTACAGGTATCGCTGATTGTTTCATTTAAAATCTAACAGATGACTGGTCATTTACTTTGTTTCAGGAAGTTTCGAAGTTACTCGACAAAATGTACGTCTATACACCTCCAGTTCAGGCACCTATCGACCCTCCTTACAAAGAGGCATGTGAATTGAAAAAGACTGATAAACTTGCGAAACCTCCTCTGCTCGTCGAAACCGAGACCTCCACTGCTGTAAACAATACTCATTGTGCAAATTTATCGGTTTATGACGAGGGCGAATCGACTGAAAGTCCTTCATCACTCACTGAGGATGTTGTTGAGAGTCTGTGCGAGTGTTACCTTTACAGCAACGAGTAAGCGATGAATCATTCAACCAATGTTGAACGTTGAAAGTGTTTATGTTTACTCTGCTGCATCAGGCGAGAACCACTGAAGGCTAAGTTAATTTTTCCGTGTATTTTTTTTGCTTTGTTTTTGTTGAAATTTCTTAAACGACACCTGATGATCTGAAAAGCGCAAAGCAAGATAAACCTTATAAGCATGTAAGGTTGCGTTTCTAAGATTTTGCTCAATTTATGATTTGGATATAATGTGTACTTGACTGTTGTTTTGGTGTGAAAGAGAAAGAACATAATCGTAAGTTATTCGAAAGAAGTTTTCAAGCAGATCTAGGAAATAATTTGAAATTGAAGTTTACAATCATTGGTTTATTTAAATAGATTTTTCATTTAATCTTCTAAATAGTTTAGTTAAGATTCAAGAAGCGTGCAGCCATTGTTAAATCTTCCATCGACAAAGATCTTGCATCTTACGGTGGTGTACGATCTGTGGATAGGGTGTTGTTGTCTTCCTGATTTTGGTTTACCAGCTCTATTTTGGTATCGGGCATAAAGGTACCTTGGTAATGAGCAAAGTATGATTCGTAACGGCAGTAATTTTTTAATAAAATTTATATATGGAGCAGTCCTGTAACACAGATATCATGAAACTAATCTTTCCATTAATGGAACATTGTTCATTTTTTAGACTTTCAGCCTAATACCAAAAATATTCAAAATGCACCTAAAAAATCCACGCCAGATACCAAAATAGGTCATCCAAATAATGTCGGGCAACTACATCAGATTTTACCGTATCCACAAGTGGCGTGTCATCATGAAATGCAAAGTCGTTGCTCCGGGTTCAACAGTGATTGCGCACTCCCTGCCTCTTAAGGAAACTTAAAGAATTAAATAAGATAAATGGTTTAAATTGACTAATATTTGTAAATTTTTAGCACCTAGATTCGTTTGAAAATTTGTTTGGAAGAACTATTATTTAGTGTAACGAACATTCCAACAAATCATTTTATCACAAAGAACTAATATATTTAATAAATCATGAGTGATCAAGAAAGCATGGCAGTGTATAGTATAGCTACATGGAAAACTGTCTGAGAATTCGATCCTGCAACTGGTGATCAGAATTCACTTGCAGCTGCACTGGATCTCATCCAAAAGTTTAACGTCACGGTTACGGTCATGTTACTGATTGAGAATGGTGTGAAGGATTTTAAGGTTTCAGTTCCGCATTGAGAACTCGCTATGTCCTTCTTGAAACAGCACAAGAGACTGTTTGTTTACACCCAACATAAGCAATTATTTTGTCAATGATATGATTGACCGTGCCGAGTTTTACGGTACTTCTTCAAGATGAAGGGTTAGTGAGCTATAGAAGTCAATACTGTCTGCAGCAGTTGAATAAAGCGTTTTAGCAAGCCTATCAATGGACGCATCGAATCCTCAGTCTTCAGTTATTCCTCGTTAGTAGTAACATGGAGTTATTGGAAGCACAACCTGTTTGGAGAGGGTTTTTGGATTAATCAAAATTTCTCGCCTCTGTTCGCAGTAGAAATCGAAATTTTCTTTATCGAGTTCTGAAAGTCTGAGTTCCCTGACGAAAGCCATAGCTTTTAACGGGTTTCTCAAGTGGTCCCAATAGCGACTTCGAGAGACCAGGAACATATAGTGGAGCTGTATGTAAGAGTAGAGATAGGGCGCAACTTTGCACAAATGATTTTATCACCTCAGCACTCACTCCAGTGCGTGTTATTCGTTGTATGAAGGACGGTTGCTCGTCTACGTTTGACAACTACTAATGCCAAAATTTGCGCATTCCATGATATGCAACGGCCTAACATTAAGTGAATATATTTTGATTCCGTGATGTTAATAAAGGTTGCAACGCCGTGAGTGATTTGTTCGATTTTATTAGTTCTACGGGAGAGAAAGTAACACGTATGCAGTGAATGACGTATTCGTTAGATTGTGGCATGGTGGCACTCTGGAGATGCTAGATTCGATTTCGCCTGAGAATAATTTTTGTCTTTTTCACGAAATCCCTTGAGCAACCAATTTACCACACATTGCTTCAGATCAGAGTTGCTAAGTCTAAAGGCGTCAAACGCAGAAAGGATAGATCCCGAGTTAAAGTCCCGGTTAGGGTCACTCACCATTCTTCTTTCTGAAATTGATAAATGAGTACCACTCTGTGGAAAGATAACAGGACTGCGCACTACTTTAGCCATATAGCTATATACTCTGCATTTAAAAAATAAGATACTCCTGGCTAATGGCGTAGAAAGTGGGCCAGCACGACACCATCAGCTTCACGATAAGGGCGCCAAATGGCCCAATGGTGAAAGTGAAGGAAGACCGACCTTCTACCATAGACAGTTTCCTTTTCCTATATTCCTATACTCTTGCGGCTTTAGAGGTCGATGTCGAATGGCAACTGTCTTTTGGTCCAG